CTCTCTGTCTCTCGCCCACCTCTGTCTCTGTCTCTCTTCCCCCCCTCTCTCTCTGTATAATACTCTGTCTCTCTTTCATTCCCACTCTCACTCTTTCTCTGTATAATACTCTCTCTCTGTACAATACTCTCTCTCTCTGTCTCTCTTTCACCCCCACTCTCACTCTCTCTGTATAATACTCTCTCTCTCTGTATGATACTCTGTCTCTGTCTCCCGCCCACCTCTCTCTCGGTATAATACTCTCTCTCTGTATAATACTCTCTCTGTCTCTCTTTCACCCCCACTCTCACTCTCTGTATAATACTTTCTCTCTGTCTCTCACCCACCTTTGTCTCTGTCTCTCTTCCTGCTCTCTCTCTATATAATTCTGTCTCTGTATAATACTTTCTGTCTCTCGCCCACCTCTGTCTCTGTCTCTCTTCCCCCCACCTCTCTCGGTATAATACTCTGTCTTGGTATAATACTCTCTCTGTCTCTCACTCACACCCAATCTCTCTCTCTCTCTCTCTCTCTCTCTCTGTCTTTCCCCCCCAATCTCCCTGCACAGACACTGCCCCAGATCCTGCTGAGCCCCTCCGGGACTTCCCCCCCCTTTGTCCGATTTTCCCTCGTTTCCCCCAGCACCCCCCCACCCCCATCTCATCGCGTACCCCTCCCCGCGCGCTCTCACTCCGGAGCGACGTTAGTAGTTGGGGGGGTGGGTGGGTCGGAGGTGCGGTCAGTGACGCCCCGACTCTCTGGACGTGAGAAAACCCAAATTATTTTACTTAGAAAAATCTGCACCCGCCAACCCCCCCATCCCCCCACAACCAAAACCCCACCCCCCCCCAAAACTTCTCCAACCCCTCCTCCTTCCCTCCCTCCCACCCTGTTGCCCCCATCCGCTCAGGCCGAGCCAGCCAAGGTTTGGACGGCCAGTAATGCGAGGACGACGACAACGCCGGGGGGTGTCCTGGCCGCTACCGCTCCCCGGTTTACGGCCTTCATGGTGACGATCCAGTCCCGGTAGGCCTCTGGGCGGGTGTAGACCCCCACCTTGTGGGGCAGCCCGCACTGCACCCCGAAACTCGACACCCCCACCAGGTAAAACCGGGCGTCCCGCTGGTCGAAGCACTGCAGGGGACCCCCGCTGTCTCCCTGCGCGGCTCGGCGTTTCGGGGGTGGGGGGAGGGGTGGTGGTGGTAGAGAGAGAGAGAGAGAGAGACATGGGGGGGGGGGGGGGGGTGGTTGGGTAGAAAGAAAGAAAGCGACATGGTGAGTGAGCGGTTTCAGTCCCGTTCGACGTCCATTCCCCACCCCCAACCCTCCCATTCCCCCCCCACCAAATTTGGATCCGCGAGGTTCGTGAGGGGGGGGTGGGTAGGGGGCTACAGAGGTAGGGAGGGGATGGGGGAGGTGACGGAGATAGGGAGGGGGATGGAGGGGGTGACGGAGATAGGGAGGGGGTGTAGGGGGGAGGGAGGGGGGGTGGGGGGCGGGAGGGGGGGGTGGGGGAGGGAGGGGGGGGGGGAGAAGGGGGGTGGAGGAGGTGACAGAGATAGGGAGGGGGATGTGGGAGATGGAGGGGGTGATGGAGATAGGGAGGGGGTGTAGGGGGATGGAGGAGGTGACGGAGATAGGGATGGGGTGTAGGGGAATGGAGGAGGAGGTGACAGAGATAGGGAAGGGGTGTAGGGGGATGGAGGAGGTGAAGGAGGTAGGGAAGGGGTGTAGGGGGATGGAGGAGGAGGTGACAGAGATAGGGAGGGGGTGTAGGGGCTGGTGGAGGTTACAGAGATAGGGAGGGGGTGTAGGGGGATGGAGGAGGAGGTGACGGAGATAGGGAGAGGGTGCAGGGGGATGGAGGAGGAGGTGACGGAGATAGGGAGGGTGTGTGGGGGATGGAGGAGGAGGTGACGGAGAGAGGGAGGGGGGTTGTAAGAGGGGGAAGCTAACTGGGTCCCTCAAGCTTGCTTTGCCATTTGGTTGGGATTGCGTCTGATCTGATGGTTCC